GTGTTGGGAATAATATAATTAAGTGTTGAAGAAGTGGAACATGAGAAACAGGTTATTGACTCCCGGGCAAATGCAGTCTAGCTGTGAAGGTTGGCCAGTCCGAAATCGCTGTCCGGTGGTCAGATTGCCGCGTCTGGAAGTCCCTGCGCGTAGTCAGTTATCGGCAATAAGGTCCTTTGTGAACTGTCCTTGGAAAGTGGTTGGCCAGTTGGCCAGACACATCCGTGACCTTGACTGGAGCTTTGACACCGTCTGGACACGGGAGCCAGACATGAGGGACATGCATGTGTAAGAATACAAGGTCGCTATTGTTCTACTACCATTTTAAACTAATTCACGCGCAATTCACCGTCCCTGCACACAGTATGCCGTAGGACACGCGGTGAGCACGGACGACAATGACAGTCGAGCTGTTGTGATACTTGCAGAGGTTCGCATATGTCACTACTCAAAATTCGTACTCAATTTTCAATTTGCTATAAAGGTTGCTTTTCTATTTTGCCATAACTAAGAAATCAGTATTCACACACTTGTATGGTGAGGGGTTAGACTGCAATGAACTTTTAAGTTTGTGAAATTTACTTGAACTATCCTAACCTCTATTTTCTAGACCTACTTGCAGTACCTAGACTCGGACGACAACCTCGGTCTCAGTGCGGACAGTATCGCATCCCTGGTTATTAAGTACCACGCAGAAGCGGGAACAGCTCAGGGTGCCTCCGGTGGACAGGCTACTGAGCAGCATGTCCGTCTTGGGGATGACCAGGAAGCAGAGGGCAGTGTAGTGAATAGTTTCACACCTGACCGCGTTGCCGGAATAAAAGTTTTACTCCATGACAATGCCTATGTCGCTGGCCGAAGACGCACCAACTCAAAAGATGACGGAAAGCATCAGTGTCAACCATCCTTCACAGTCGAGTCAACTTCCGCCATAGCTTGGATATCTCTACTGCCCTGCACTTTACTTCAGAAGATGATTGAATCCCTGCTTTCCAACAAATGCGTCATTATTTATGGTCCAAAGGGTGCGGGGAAGCTAGAGTTCGGCCGCCTACTTATTGATGCTATGGTTCGAATGTGAGTTCTTTCCACCTCTTTCATTCTTTTTGGGAGATCATTACAGCTTTAAGACACCATTTTCAATTCGCATATCTGTAGCTTTTCAAACACCTGATGTTTGATTTTTACCTTTTACTTATGAGTTTGCTTACATGTTAATATATAGTAGCTTGGGAGCCAACACAAAATCTACTTAATTACTTAAGATGCCAAAAGCGACTTCTCTGCCACATACCTAGAGATAAAGACAATTTAATCTGCGTGAACTGCATGGTGATTAAACGAGATGTGACCACAGGTTTCAATTATACTCATCTATTTAAGTTTAGAAACGTTTTCAAAACCGAAAGACAACATTTCTACCGATTCGAATTATGAAGAAGACCTGAGTT